ATATTATCACACAAAGGAAAAATTACGTTGTTTATTTAAGGAATCACTTTCTAGTTAGTATAGTATGCCAGGGCATCAACAATAGTGGGAAACATGGGATAATTTGCATAACGGGCGAAGCCCGTTATGCATAAATTACCGGTATCCCATGTTTCCCACTACTGTTGATGTCCCTGGCATACTATATTTAGTAGACAGTGATTCCTTATATTTCCATTTCATTGTGAAATAAAATTGTAGATTTAGATCTAAAAATGTAGACATAGATTTAAGTTACACGAGGACTCCCATGCCAATTTCAATAGTCCTCGCCCACTGACGTCAAACACAAATGCAGCCGTACGAGATTTACATGCATAGGCTGGCCTTCTTAGCGTCAGACACAGAGACAGATCATGCGTATTAGGCCTCCTTAGCTCCTGACCTACCGTGCCTAATTTACATTCCGGCAGAATTATCAAGAAATAAACTCCGCTAACTTTCAAAGAGTTATCATAGAGAAAAAAAATTAGCAATGGAAATATTTTGAATAAAAGTATCTTGATCGTGTTATACATCAATGATCAAATTGAAGTAACTTGACATGATGTATCTAAAGTTCGTAACAATAAACGTCATTGATTGTAAATATTTTTTGGAGCTGCATATAAAATTCAACTGGATAGTGAATATGCTATTTTTCTTTAGCCTGTGCAATATGCTACATCGCATATAGAGTCTATGTACAACAGCGTGTATTTGAAAAGCGAATGTCATTTTTTATCTCTCAATTTTAGGCCCCCCATCAATGATCAGCATTTTGATACATGTAACTATATACTTGTGGACTGAGTATATGTACCTCATGTACAAGTAACCTTGTCTCTGAGAGAAGTAATAATATCATCCACAATCAAGTATGTTATTAAGATAATTAGATACCTAACTACAGCTAGTTTCAAAAGACAATTGTATACACTCTATGTACCGCCCAATAATACGTGTAATTTGGCCATCAAATATTGCCATTATAGTGATATTGTAGCAATTAGAAGACTTCTATGTTAATTTGAATTAATGTCACAAAAATTATATGAAACTTCATCGTAAACAGTACTAATGAATCAAGACAGCAATAACTTGTTTGCATTACTGAATATCTTATTCATAAATCTAGGGAAAAATGAGAGTAAAAGAAATTTTGTTGTTTTCGATTCTGAAATTATTTTAAAGGGATTTCAACACACTGCTTATTCTCAAATCTCAATATATTTTTATTGCTCTGCTCGCAAATATTTTTTTTTCTGTTTGGTTTGTTTTTTTTTAATTGTCCTTCTCTGCAAATGTTGACCTATGCTCGGCACACAAGGCCATTGAGCAATGAAGGATCTTTTTCGTGCCAGCACCTTCCGCGACACGGGATCTCGGCCTTTATACGGTCTCATCCGATGGAACGGTCTCCATGTCCCCTACTGGGATTCGAACCGGCGACATTCGGATCGACTCCTTGTTCTGCGATTCTAGAACCAACGCTCTTTACCACTGCACCACGCAGACGACTTCTTCTTATGAATCAAGCGTTTCAACTGTCCAAATTGTAACCCATATAAAAATCCTTTTTAATATTAAGTTTGTCATTTTTGAATCGACAACTTTATGATAACAAAATAATGCAAGTTTTTATTGATCTAGTTCACTAATGAAATGAATAAATACCAAGTTTAAAATGTTCACATAAGAGTTTGTTCTTAACCCTACATTGCATACGTCAACGATAAATTTAAAGACTAGTTCACAAAATCAAAAAATGGCCAAAATTAGTCACATCATATTTCTCTATAAAAGCTAATTTTTATACCAAGTTACAACAGAGAGTCTACAGACGTAGCCAAATGTCACTTGTATAGCATTGCAACAGTTAGGTAATGTTCAATATCCAATGAAAATCTCTGATAACTGAGATTCTTTTAAAATGCCTTACTTATAGCTGGCCACAATTTTGGATTAAGATTTTAGCTTTCGTATTTCCGCTTCTGGTTCCACATCCTTCCATCTTTTTGACGACGTCCATGCCTTCGACGACCTGTCCAAATACAACATATTTACCATCCAGCCAGGGAGTCGCAGTAGTACATATAAAGAACTGACTGCTGTTGGAGTTTGGACCGGAATTGACCATGGATAAAATACCCGGCCCAGTATGCTTCAGCTGAAAGTTCTCATCCTTAAACTTGGCTCCATAGATACTTTTTCCTCCAGTGCCATTGAAGTTTGTGAAGTCGCCTCCCTGGCACATGAAATCAGGAATAATTCTGTGAAAAGGACATCCCTTGTAGCCAAAGCCCTTTTCACCTGTACATAATGCACGGAAGTTCTCAGCCGTTTTGGGGACAACATCGGTTCGCAGTTCCACAACTATACGACCTATGCTATTTTTATCGAGTGTAATGTCCAGGAAAACTTTGGGTTTCGACATTTTGTCTCAGAGGTCTTGTCCAAATGGCTTACTTCCTTACCCGTAATTTAAGCACAAGATCGACCTCACCCCAATCCAACTATTAGTAACATCGTGATTATTCGGCTTATTTCAAACACTCAGCTGACGTGTTTAGAATTCATTCAATGACGAAACTTGTGCGCACAAATTGCATTATGTGACATTGGTATATTGCATAACACGTTGCCAAGAGTATTGTGAAATAAATGCTGAGGGTAACATTAAACTAAGTGAATGCTTCTAAGTTAATCATATTTTAATTTTTTAAATAAAAAGGGTTAGTGGTGGATTTGATTTCATTTCATAGGCCTGACTTCGCAAAGTATATTTTAGAATATTTGCCAGGATTTCAGCATGTTCTGTTTGATTATTCTATTTGGATTATGTCCAGTTAACGATAGTTATTCATTAATATATCAACTCGAAGTAACCCAATAAACTTCAAATAAAAGATTCCTGAGTCAGACACCTCTGTTTCATTTATGGATAATTTACTAGACAGACCTTTATGGTGACCGTACAACAAAACTTAATGATATAAAACGTGACGGCTTTAACTTTTGTATCAGCTTCCCTAACTTATGTAGCAATGTATACAATTATCATCCGAGTATGGGGTTTAAACTCCCAGTTCGAACGCAAGAGCATTCTATTCGAACGAACATTTTCTAAAATCAGGCATGCTATCGACAAATAAGTTGAAGAAACAAGAATAATACCGGTAACAGTCTCATTTGAGGACATCATTTTCGCAAGTTCTTCTAAATTATTAGATTAATAAGATTGATCCATGTTCACTGCTCACGCCGAGTGTGAGCAATCTATAGGGAATGCTTACTCCTTCTATACATCTGATCCCACCTTTGGAATTTCCAATGGTCCACGTCTTATGCCCTCTTCAGGCGCGGATTGAAGTTAGAGGGGGCCAAAAATAGGATTTGAATTTTGTTAAAAATGAGGGGGCGAAACTGTGATTTACGTTAACTTTGAAATGTGCTTATGGATTTTTTAGATCGATCACTGAGAGTTATCTACAGTACATTGTTTTTAGTAATGTATAAAATTCTTGAGTTTTGTTTTCAATTTGCAATGTAGTTTTATATTATTTGTGAGTTATACTAAATTGATAAGGAAAAGTTTTTTTTTTAAATTTATACAATAGTATCTTCGCGAAATTTGTCACAGAACACCGCGAAAAGAAGTACATTGCAAAAGTTTTGCAACACAGTCAAGGCCAAAAGAGAACCCCACTGTAAATTTTGATCAGAAAAAAAATGTGGCAAAGATTGTCGAATTAAATTCCATTCCATTTTATTTTCAGCTTATTTGATTATTTCTATCAAATATGTGTTTTGCAACATGTAGATAATAGCTAAAATCAAAGTCCGACGTAAAATACAGTGCAAAAATTACCTCAAATCAGTGCTTGCCTGGGGAGTTTTCTGTCATTTTTTAAATATAATAGTAATAACATTGTCAAGTAGTAAAAGAATTGATTGATTGTACGTTGTTTAATGTACCTCTAAAGATTTTTTCAGTCATATGGAGACGCAAACACTGGCGGGTGGAGAGCTGAAATTTTGTTCTCATGCTCGGCACTCACGGCCATTGAGCAGGGAGGGATCTTTTTTCGTGCCAGCACCTACTGCATCAAGGGACCTCGGTTTATACGGTCTCATCCAAGGACCGGTCTCCACGTCCAACAGTGGGATTCGAACCTGTGACGTAGGGATCAACTCCTAACTTCGCGACTCTAGAGCAGACACTCTAACAATTGTGCCATGCAAGTAGTAAAAGGAGAGCAAGAGATTACCAAGAGAAAAGAACAGTTTCTCCTTTCCAATTACTAATGAAACTGACAATTTTTAGCACTTTCCAATATTAAATTGATTCATGACTACATGTGACTCTCACTTCCTCTCCAAGACAAGTAGCACATAGTGGATGTGACCGATTGAATTGGGATGCTTACTTACCCATGGTACCTGATCCCACCACTCAGTTTTTGGAGCTCTTTTTCTTTGCTCTGCTTTGGATTTATATAATTAATCTACTTTGAGCCTGAATACTGTGGGTTATTTCTACAACTTAGGCCAAAATAAAAAATACTCTTGTTTCCTGTCACCCGACCTACCCTACATTTTACCCTCCGACCCTAAAAGTTTTTTTTTGCATTTTCATTTTTATTGGGGGGCTATTTTCATGAAATACTAAAGTTGACCAACAATATTTACATCACAAGTGTACAGGATACCTTTACTTTATTTATAAATCTTTATTAACAAACTTGCTCTGTATTTAAAACTGTTAACTTATCATTTTGTTGTTATTACATGCTATATGTTCTGCATTCATTGTGTTTTGAAAATAAAATTTTTTCTCAAAATAAAATTTTTTCCCTACCTACCTACCCTAATTTTTTTGGTCAGGGGACAGGAAACAAGAGTATATTTTCTTTTGGCCTTATACCTGAATCAGGTATAATATTACACACTTAGATAAAACAAACAAATCCATGTAATAAACAAGTTTTTAATGAGGTTCTGTCAAAGTTGCACACATTGCAATAGATTTGAATGATTTTAAAAATTAAACATTAATATATTTACAAATCTAGGAGGCAGAACATGTGTGAAACTGAATGCAGAAAGTTAGAAAATATGAACCGAAGTAAAGGGAATAAATATAAGAATTTTTTACCCAAAAATAACATATTATACATAGTATTTAAATTTAAAATTGCAAGATTATTTTTTTGGTATATGCTTTGATATCCATGTGTTTTAAACATTACAGAGGATTAAATATACAAACTGAAAAAAAAAATAGTGTATGCTTCAAAATATATTTTAGGTTTTGATAACTAGATAAACAAAGAAAATAATAAAGAAAACCCATACAATTTTGTAAATTCAGCTACAAATAAAACTTGGCTATGAAATGATCTGTATATATTAGAAATATCTCAGTATGTACATAAACATTTGATCTTAATTATGCCATTTTGAATATAAGAACAAAGTCATCTAATTGAAAAGGACTGCAAATTATCTTTTTCCCCCTAATTGTTCATTGCTACTTAAGCTAGAGCATTTCATTCAGATATTTAAAAAAATTATTAACTTCCATTCTTTAAATATTAAGTACATTTCTTTGATACTATTTTACAAAAGTCTTCTATATCTGAAACATACAATTTTAAAAAAATGTTCTGTTGAAATCTTTTAAGTCTATGTCTGAATAAAAAAAATGAAAGAGTAGAAAAATGTAAAAATGAATTTAAAATCTTTGTTCTATCCCTTTTCTTAAGTAAGAAAATATTAAGCAACAAACTGCCACTCACACACCTGACAATCAATTAATGGATATGATTTAATTGAACTGAGTGTATTGAAGTTAATTTTTTTTAATTTACCAAAGAGAGGCAAAAAAAAATTCAAATAAAATAATGGTACAATTGACTTAAAATGCCTCATGAAAATTTCATGCCCAAAGCATGTGAATTCCATGTGAAAACTATGTAAAAATTTCACGAATTTAAAATTCAAAAGAAAAAAATTTGAAAAAATTATTTCTGATGATATGATTGAGAAAAATTTCACTAAAAAATCTTGTACGATTTCTTATCAAATGATTCTCAATTTGTATGCTTCACATGAAAAATTTCAAAAGAAGGTTGCAATTGATATGAATTACATTTGAACAAGTTCTTTTAAAACTCAATACATTTTAAGGTTTCATAGAAGTTCTTTTGTACAATTAGAAAATATATATGAGCTAAATAGAAAATTAAATCTGATAATCTCAATACGTAATATTTTTAAAAAAAATTGATTCTTCTTGCTTAATTGTTAAGATGCGAGTATATTATATTGTGCAATAATCTCAAAATACACTGAACATGAACTAATAACAGAAAAACAGTAACAATGTTTCATTGTGTCAATTGAAATCATAAACAATAGAAAGGGAAAAAAATAAGCTAAATAACATTACAATTTAACAAGAAAACTGATATATATTAGATCATACAACATCATAAACAACAGAACTAAAAATCTGAATCCAAGTGTAAGAAATAAAAAAAAAATCTTTCCTGAATGTTTTTTTTTTAATTTGCATAAACATGAAGTCAGATTGTCAGTTTGACTAATTTGAATATTAAATGTAACCTGATATAATGCAGAATATTCATTAATAAGTGTGCCTGATCATGCAAAATTAAAAATATCAATCACACTGAACATTATCAATTGCACTGAAAAAAAATAACAACAAAGGTAACGAAGTAGGCAGGGGGTAAAATTAGAGATTCATGCTTTAACAAGCAAGAGAAAATTCCAATGCTGATATTTCGTAAGTATAAGAGATAACAAATGTCATTTTTGGTGGTCATGATTTTTGGGTGGCAGGATACTAAGCTACGAAAAATTTAAAACAATAAGTCAAAAATTTTCACATTGTTCTCTGGTGGAAATAAAGACTAACTCATATCATACTGCACGTAACGGGCCCTAATGTTAAAGTATTAAAGGTAGAATCTGTGGGGTGGTCAAATTTGCATCTAAAAAAAGATACAGTTACATTCAGGTAAAATCTGACAAGAACAAGCTAAACATAAAACTGGTGATTTTTATTTAAACCTACTAAATAGAGGTGGGAAAATGACAGATGATTCCACTTGTACATCATCATAGCACAAACAACCAATCAGAGATAGGATGTAGTAAAACAGCCAATCACAGAGAGGATGTAATATAAACAACCAATCACAGACAGGATGTAGTAAAAACAACCAATCATAGATAGGATGTAATATAAACAACCAATCAGAGAGCCTTTCCATGCAGTCAATGGTAACAGAGTGTTTTTAAAAATACAACACATAAATAATTAAGATGACATCTCTCGCCTAATACCAAACTGTTAATTGATCGGAATTTGCAGAACTACACGAGAAGAAATAAAATGATAACATTCAGTGGAATTCTTGGACAAATCGTATAAAAATCAACATGATATGTAGTATGGTCATGGCTTACATCATAACGTACACAACATCAGCTCTTTGGTGCATTGTTATTCTCCAGTTTCTCGAAGCACACAATATTAAGTAAACAGCTAAGTATATCAAGAATAAGCCTATCTTCCCAAGTGCTAGCATGATCAAACTGCTCCATGCCCAATTACTGTGAAATAAGCAATTTTTGTGGTGTTTCAATTTCACTGCTTTTGTGGTATGAAGAGACCCCCAAATTCATCTCCAAAATTTTTTTTTACAATATTTAACCCCCCAAAAAAATTATTATTATTCAATCAAATCTCCACAAACAAATATTTTTTGTCAAACCATAAAAAAGATTGATCTTTACATATGGAAAAAAGAAGAAAATTTTCATGCCCTATTCTCAAAAGTATCTCAACACACTGACATAATAACAATGCACAAAAAATGGCAGACGTTGCTATACTGCATCCTGTATCTTCCCATTTAAGTCTTATAAGGCATCATGGAAGAGTAGAATGGCAGAACAGATATAAAACCTTTCCTAAGGCATTCCCTCATTCCAGTAGTTCACAGATCTCATTGGCTATCCACTGGACTGACAGAGAGTCTTTAATCAAGACACAAAGATGGACTATGAATCAATTCAAAAATTGATGTTTTTTTTTTGGTGTGTCCTCTACAAGATTTGAAAACACAGTAGAATGAAGGAACCACTTAGTTAGATATCACAGTCTTGTATCCAATTTGCTCAACAAAAATGAAAATATTTGATTAATTAATTACTGCCTACCTATATATTGATAAAAATAGAATTGGAACAAATACCACATGTAATATATTTGTCCAAACAAGACATTCCTTGGTTGGATGAAATATAAATTAATTAAAAAGAAAATTAATTTCATATTTTGATGAGCAAATGTTCACATCTTTTTTGTAATTTGTTTTTTATTCTCTAGGCCTGAGATTCTACGCGATATTTCTCCCCTGTTCCAGAGTCTTTTTTCCAGAATTTCATTTTGCTCATCTTTGCTTTCATTTCACTTGGGCGATGCTGAAAAAAATGTAAAAGTGAAAATAAGATGAAAGTAGATAGAATTCCATGGAACAATGTATACTTAGGCCACATAAAATTGAAATTAAAATATTAAGGCTTGTGACCATTTGGTTTGAGGAGCCACATTCCAAATTTTATCATAATTTTGATTAAATAAAAAAATTGGTAATGCAGAGACCAATCCAGAAAAAAAGTTCCGTCCTCATTTTCTCATAGTTTAGTACTCAAATATCACTTCCCATAGCCATTTTCAGAGATCTGACTACATTGTTTAAATAAAATTGTTTTGGAGAAAATTGGCCTGAGTACCATGGAATTAAATTTACGTAGCATAATAATCTGAATTAGAGTTGATGTTATCGTTTTATATAAAACAGATTTATAAAACACTCACGTTGATCATCCATTGACCTGAAGCGGATGTGGGATGAGTGTAAGCATAGAAAAACCAGCCTCCGATTCCTACCACGAGAGCCACGAGTATAATCACCGCAACCACCACACCAGCTATCGTGGCACTGTCACCACCTGTAATGATCAATCCATAAATATAGTGACTCAACAGAAAAACATCAACCCCGCATGAAGTGGGTCCTGTAAATCACATTTTATTCGCAGGAACTTTATATTCGCATACTGTAAACGTATTACATTTGGCTGTGTATTCTTTTTAGCGGCTTTGGCAGATCGGAGCAACTGCTAAATCAAGTACAAAGCTAAATGTCTTGCACGTATACACATCAATAAGAATATGAAGAAAAGCGCTAAATCAATTCTACGCTAACTCATTCAAAAGTCAATTTCCTCTAAATACTGTACACGCTAAATATAATACATTTACAGTAATTGCAGGAGACAGTGTGCTTAAAAAAATTTCTTTCTCACATATATTATATATATGTACGGCTTTAGATTATATAGAGTACAATTCTTGAAATTTTGTCTTGTTTATCAAGATTTAATGTTTATCTTGCAAAAATAAGGTGTCATGAACAGTGACACTTTTGCTACTTTACTCATCTCTATATTTAGTAAGTTAAACATAGATTTCTATTTATAATAACTTACTTTTCTGGGCACTTTTGAATGAACAGTTACTTCTGCTGGACTGAAAATGTAAAATAAATAAATAAAATAAATCAATATTAATAAAAATTGCATTAACTAGAAATATATATCATTTTAAAAATAACTGATGTGTTTTAATTAAAATTCTGTTAAAAAGTTTTATATTCAAGCTTTTACTTGACCAAAATATAATCCTTGTGCTGCAAATTTCTTTCTTATATATTTTGTAACATTGTTAGTCATGTTAATTAAATACAGGTGAAAGTTTCTTATATATATGATAAAGTAATTATTAATAACTGTGCAAGAGATGTGGTGCTAGAGAGCTTAGAGAAGCAGGGAATCCATTTCTTACTTCTACGCACCTACTCCTTTCTGACATTTTTAATATCTGTTTATACTGCACTACTTCACCCTCTAAGTTTCTGTCTATGTATTTTTTCCTGTCAAGCAAAAGCTTTTATGAAGAATGCAGGAAAAATGGGGAAGAGAAAGGAGTTTTTGTAGCACAGAAAATGTCAAAAAGTAATTCTTTTTTGGGATGGCTGTCACACTAATTTTAAAATAAATTTATTATATTTTACAGTTTATTTATTATGAGAGATGACTTATGGTACTTATTTGCCAGACTGCCAGGAGGTGTTGGGTAGAATAATTCATTAAATTATCTATTGCTGTAATACAGAATTCTACACCTACCAACCCTTTAAAAATTCTTCCTAATAAAGATGATTTGCACATGTACAAATAGCATAATATTTCTTTATACCCCTTGCATCCTTTCTCCTTAAATCAATGACTACTTAAGAAATAAGGTATCATTTTTAAACATCTATCGGGCTATAAATACGGGTTGGTCACGAGATTAAATTCCATAAAGCCCAAAGGGCTTTATGATGAATTTAATCTGGTACCAACCCGTATTTATAGCCCGATAGATGTTTTAAAATGATACCTTATTACTTACATTTACATTTGTGACTTATTCATACTTTATATTTGCCTGACTGTGACTTTTAACGTGTGAAATGCGTTATTTTTCAAACCCAACAGCATGTATCAAATTCACTGAATGCGCCTCAACTCTTTATGACATCACAGAGAAATTAAGTCGAACGTTTATCCATACGCACATCTATGACCTCTTGACCCCGTACCTGTATTTATACAGTTATAGATACGCATTGCTTTCAGTAGTGTTATATAAAGGAAAACATTTGCAAATGTAAATATATGCAATTAAAACCTGGTCACCACTTATCATAAGATATGAAACTGATATTTAAAAAATCCACATGCACATTTGTGAATGGTTTTATCCTAATCAGTGTACCATATAGTCAGTCAACACAGCATGCTGCATTCTTCCTTATGAAAACTTGATAGGTATGCAGGCTATATTTAAATAGGTTTAAGGGCTAAAATTTAATTTGTTTGAGGGCTACAGTTTAATAGGTCTAAGGGGAATGATAATTTATTTAATAGGTTTGAGGGCTATAGGTTGATTAGTTTGAGGGTATAGTTTAATAGGATTGAGGGCTACAGTTTAATAGGTTTTAGGGCTACAATTTGATAGGTTTGAGGGTTGCAGTTTGATTGATCTGAGGGCTACAGTTAAATAGGTTTGAGGGTTAATTTTTGAATAGGTTTGGGGGCTACAGTTTAATAGGTTTGAGGCTACAGTTTGATAGGTTTGAGGCTAAAGTTTGATAGGTTTGAGTACTACAGTTTAATTGATTTCAGGGCTACAGTTTACCATGTTTGAGGGCAACAGTTTAATAGGTTTGAGGGCAATGGTTTAATAGGTCTGAGGGTTACAGTTTGATAGGTTTGAGGTCTACAGTTTACTATGTTTGAGGGCTACAGTTTGATAGGTTTGAAGACTAAGTTTGATCAGTTTGAGGGCAATGGTTTAATAGGTCTGAGGGTTACAGTTTAATAGGTTTGAGGGCCAGTTTAATAGGTTTGAGGGCTACATTTATAGATTTAACGGCCAGTTTAATATGTTTGAGGGCAATGATTAAAAATGTTTGAGAGCAATGGTTTAATAGGTCTGAGGGCAATGGTTTAATAGGTTTGAGGGCTACAGATTGATAGGTTTGAGGACAATGGTT